CCGGCTAATTTTTTTGATTTACTGTAGAGATGAGGTCTTGCCAAGTTGCCCAGGCGGGTCTCGAACCCACAGGCTCAGGCAATCCACTCACCTCACAGATTGCCTCTTTACCAAGGAGAATGTCAGGGCACTAATGCTCTATTTAGGGAAAGGTGTTTCTCTTTAGGCAGTAACAAAGCAAGAGGTTTTTTTGAAAAAGTAACACATAAAAGGTGTGAGCGTAGTTTAAATTATAACATTTATGCCAATCTGTGTTGAGAATGTTGACTGTACTTTATAAGAATGATGCTTCTATGTCCTATATCCCAAGCCCTCTCAATGTTACAGGGCATTCTAACATGAGTCTTGGTGGTCTGTCCCTATCAGAAGCAGGCTGTCTTCTGCACCTTGGGAGCTGGTTTGCAGTGACTGTGTTTGGTGGTTTGCTTTCTCTAGGTCTGCAGTCCATCATACTCTCTAGCAGGGTTGACTGACTTATCGCTGCTCAGTCCCCAATCTGTCCCCTGGATTGAGGACCAGCCAGAGCTGAGAGCCATGAGAGAAGGGAGGCTCACAGAGGAGAGGCAACCTGCTCATGCTGTCCTGGGCCCTGGCTCATGAGTCTGTATCATTCCACTGAATCTGTTTATCCCCGTGGCTCCAGGGCTTATATGATGCGCTTTCTGCCATGGTATTTGCAGACGATTTGGTTGTGGCTGTCATCTTCCACAGAAAACGCTTGTTATAGCTATGAAAGATACTTTAGTCTGAGTCCATGTTTGGCCAGCCCAGTTCTTACAGACTTCAAATATTGTTTTTCTGAGTTGCAGCAGATGACTCCGTCTTATTTCTTGTCCAAGCCGTGTGACACAACTCATCTTTGTATCACGTCTGGCCTGCGCACGGGGGTCAGCCACCTGAGATGCCGTGTGTTAGGAACTGGCTCTTGTCGGTGCTGCCACCGTGTGGCTATTTCGGCTGCTTTTTGGAACATTCCTTTTAAAATCTCGTTTTCTTCAACTCTTTTTCTTTCTTGAGAAAGGGATTTATCCACTTTCCCTCCATGACTCACGTAGAGGAGGTAGAATCGAGCGGACAGACGTGAAAGGATAACAGAAAAGGTTAAACCCGGCATTAGTTAGGAGTGCAAGCTACATGCCCAGTCTAAAGAGAGAGACAACATATTCTGAGTGCTTACTGCATGCCAGACACTGTTGTGAAACCACATGCAACTGAACTCTTAATCCTCACCATAGCGCTGAGGTCGGTATGGTTATGCTTCCCCTGTGAAGACGAAGATACAACACAGAGGGATGAAGTAACTTGGCCAGGCTCTCGCAGCTAATGTGGGCAGAGCCAGGACTCAAGCCCAAACATTCTGATTCCAGAAGGTGTCTCCTCAATCTAAACCAGGGCAGGTCACCACAGAAACAAGAAGCCTTCGCCTGTTACCAAAATTCAGTAAATGAAAAAACTCTCCTTGGAGAAGTTTTTTTTAATTGTAGTAAGATATATATATATAAATTTTACCATTTTAAAACATATAGTTCTGTGTCATTAAGTGCATTCACAGTGTTGTACAGCCCTCACCACCACCCATCTCCAGAACTCTTCATCTTCCCAAGCAGATACTATACAGTAAGTCCCATAATATGAACTTTCAAGTTACGGACTTTCAAAGATGCAGATGTGCCTTTGAATGCATGTCCAGTCACACAAGTTAGCTCATGTGTCTGGCATACATTGTCACGTGTGTGTATCCTCTACAACTGATTGTGCTTTTGTGTACTTTATCGTATAGAGTACAGTAGTACAATCTTTCACAAAGCCCAGGGTGTCTGGAAGCAAGTGTCAAAGCAGCGGTGATATAGCTGGAACTGTATTAGCTGGGTACCTAGGCTAACTTTGTTGGACTTAACGAACAAATTAGTCTTAGGAACGTGCTCTCGGAATGGAGCAAGTTCATATTTAAGGGACTTCCTCTAGTCTTAAATGATAACTCCCCGCAATCTCCGTACCCTACATACCCCCAGCCCGTACAGCCACTGTCCTCCTTTCTGTCTCCATGAACTTGACAACTCTAGGTACCTCATATGAGCGAAACCATACAGTATCTGTCCTTTACCAAGCATGGCCAATTCTTGGTTCTCTGAAGGTGACTGTTTAGCATGTCAAGGAGGAGGCATAGAACAAGCTACACTTTGCGTTTAGGGCTCAGAAGCACTGTTCTCTTCAGAAGCTCCTGTGTGATATTTAACTTAGGCAGTGCAGCCTTGGAAACAGATTTAGAAATTTAGAAGACTAGAATCTTCTGTCTTGTAAAATTTCCAATTCCCCAAATCACAAATGTTAAAAATCTGAATTCAGAAATATAATGCTAATAATACAGTTTTTGACTTGAGTTTCAACTTGCTTCTGGAATGCACGTGCCCTCCCAAGCCTGGTTGAAGTGCTGGGCCCCTAGCCTTTACACAGAGTAGACATCGAATGACAGCTTAGAGGTCTGTTTTGCTAACTTACTTTCCTCACCTGGGAATTTCAATTACTGCCTTACACTGAAGGGTGAGCCGGTGATAAAAAAAGAAAGTCGCAGCTCCCGTCATTGGGTTAACTCTGGTGTCAGGAGACATGCGGCGTTCCTTGTCTCCTGCTCTCCTTACATAGTCCTCCTCTTGTCTTCCTCTCGTCGGCCTGCCTGGCTGCAGGTTTATACAGTTTGTAGTCCAGCACCACCAGAGAGTAGGAGGAGGTGTCAGTCGCAGTAGCCGGTCTGAAAATGAGACAGTCACCTTTGAGAACCAAGAACTGGCCGTGCTTGGTTAAGTTTCTAGTTGGACATTTTTAGGTCATATGTGTTGGAGTTCTGTGTGTCAGGCTTGGTTCAGCATCCGTGGTGCTAGTAACCAGAACGAAAGAATCTCTTTGCGTGCTTCTTCTGACTCTGCATGCAGCATTTCCAGACTAGAATGTAGACAGTAACCTTTGTTCTTGGAGATTTGGAGTGTTAGCAGAAGTAGTTTCCATTTTCCTTCGGGTGGGGGAAGAGTAGGTAATGTTTGAATTCAGCTGATTTCTCATCAGCCTGGGTCCGGTTGAGAATTCTCCCACTGCAACTGATGGGTCCTTGTCCTCCTTTTTGCCAAGTGGATGGCCTCTCAGACATGAAACTGGCATTCCCAGACAACCGAACTCTGACCCACCACCTTCTGCTTACTGCTGGGTGGTACAGTCAGGTCAGTCTTTAGGTCAAAAGTGGCTGGTTTCAGGGAAGAAAAACAAAGGCAGATGGTGAAAAAAACGAATGGAAGGTTTAAGCAGCCTTCTTTTTCTGACATCTCTAAAGGAATGTCACAGGCTGGGGAGGAACTATTGCTGTGCTTGTGAGAGCTCTTTGAAACTACTCTACAGTGAAGGCCTTTATGAAGGTAATTTAAGAGAACGGGATTGACAGCATTGAGGTGCGGACTGGCTTCACTTCCCTCATGTCTTCACCGGGTCACAGCACTGACTGCCTGCTGTATACCTGGATGAATCAGTGTGTGGAAAGAATTGGGCTCTACACTTCGACCTGGCTGTACTTCATGGTTCAATAGTCTTGTGAGGCAATGAGGGTCTGGGCTATCCTGGTAGCACTTGTGAGAATGGAGTGAAGAGACCGTCCAGGAGCTACTTCAAACAGAGGATGGGCAGGACTCGGACGCTGGCCAAGCTGGTTGGTGACCGGAGGGGGTGGAGTCAGAGACACCACAGGCCAGGTTCCTAACTGCTCGATGTTATGTTTTGCCGTGGCTGGATGTCATGAGAATAGAGGGAGTGAGGAAATGTGGGTCACAGTGGATTAAACAAAGGTCAACTGGCACCTTCACTGCAGGGATTTCATACTGTAATGTGAGTGTGGATTGTGGACCACCAGACGTGGCTAAGAAGGCCTCTGTGGCTAAGAAGGCCTATGTGTTTATCTAGTTTGTTACTCAGTGGGGTCAGCCTTGTGCTCTGAGGGATACTGGGGAATGCCACTGTGAAGCGTCCATTCCAGAGTAGGGGAAGAAGGCCAGGCAGCTTGACTGCCAGAAACACCGGGGCTGTTACTGTCGGTCTGAGCAACAGGATGTAGGGGCAATCGCTGCAGCTCTGTGAGTTAATGAGGAGGAGGATAGATCAAGGAGTGCACTTGGGAGATTGGGGAATTATGAAAACAAATCCATGAAAATACAGAGAGGATTTCCTGTATGCCTCGGTTTTTCTTTAACTCATAACCTCATATTTCTACAAAATAAGAACATTTCACGTGGGTCATATGAACTAGAGGTTGAGTTTCCCCTACTGTGATGGTTTTAAGGTATCTGTAAGGGATTAAACCTGTCTTTCCTTGCAGGTAATGTACAGAAGGATTCTGCAGCAGGCGGGGTTTATACAGTTTGCACAACTTCAGTTCCTGGAAGCCAAAGAGCTCTTCAGGTAATTTGAGGTGTTGGTAGCAAGACTTCCACTGCAGTGTCCCTCTGTGGTCACAACCTCCATTTCCAGCATGCATCATGATGGGAAATGTTGGTATATTTCATTGTGCTTCACGTGGAAACTGTAAGGGTTGTTTATGGCAGCAGACACCTCCAGCTCTGGCCTCGATTCAGCCCTGAACTTCAGCCTTGGTTTAACTGTCTCAGAGCAGGGGCGAGGAGGGATGTAGATAATAGTCATATGAAGAGGATGCTGCTAGGACATCGAGATTGTTCAACCAGAAGGGACTTCTACAGAGCGAATTTGGTGACATGCCAAGGATTCCTCAGAACGCGCCGTAGTTCCCTCTTACTCTTCTCCAGAGACTTCACAAGGAGCTAAGAGTCTAGAAAAAACCCTGGGATCTGGGAAGACCTGTGAAACTCTTCATCATCTTCTAAAGAGTTTTAGAATGTTACGTTCCTGGTTAGAAAATCCTGGGCTTCTGGGAAGACCTGTGAAGCTCTTTGTCATCTTCTAAAGAGTTTTAGAGTGTTAGATCCCTGGTCAGCTGTCTTAGAAAGTTGAGTTTCTCTTGTGGAAGTCCCTTCTGGCTTGATGGTTAATCCTTTTCCCATGGGATGTTCTCCTCGGGCTCTCGGGTGCCTCTGTCTCTCCCTGTCCCTCCCTGTCCCTCTCCCTCTCCCCGTCTTACGGGCACACCTTTGCTGCAGCAGCCTCGCTGGCTGTCCCCCCCCGCCTCGGCTGGTGTGTGCGGTGAGGTGGTGGTTAGTTGCTTTTGGCCCTGCTCTCCGTCCTGCTCAGCACTGCTTGCACGTTCAGTTAGACCTCCTGCGATAGCCTTCAGATGTCCCACTCAAGCACTGTCTTTGGAAGAACTGTTCGGAATGTCTCCCTAGAATAGATGCTGCCTGTAGAATCTATTCTGATAGACTTAGAGCTATCTAAAAAATAAGCCATATCAGAAGCCCCCAGATCGATCGTTTCATCTCAGCGAGGACGTCAGCAGAACACCTCTCCGGCTTGCTGGTCCCTGGCCTTTCTGTCAGGTGTCTGCATGTGACCTCAGTGCCACCTTGGACCGCCACCGTTCCATCTCTTGCTCTATTACAACACCCAGAGCAGACAGCAGATCTCTGAGTAAAGAAGGGCTCGTTCCTTGAATTCCTTTTCTTTTATAGCACTTGCTTACGCAAATCCTGTGTGCTGTTATCCTCTCTTTAGCCTCTGGGTTTCAATCATTCCCTTTTGGCTTTAAATGGCCTCTTTACCCCTTTGGACCTAGGGTCTTCCTGCCATATTGTGTTTTATCCTTGCGTTGTTGCCAGCCTCCCCGTTCTGGTCATGGGCGTTTCCAAAGGCATCTTCTTTTTCTCAGGGGTCAGTGTAAACATTGAGTGCGTGGCCACAGCTGCACTTCTAGAAGAGTTCCCTGATTTTGCAAGAGAATGGATGTGGGGCCTGACTGTTGCTAAGACAGGGCTCCTGTACTTCCTCACGTCACTCTCTTAGTAGCTCAGCTTTAAATGAACTGCTGCTCGGCTGGTGTCCGAAGAGTGACTGAGGGAAGTGCTGTCTGAAGAAGATACTCCTAAGACAAGGACAGTTTTCCCCTTTTCTGTCCTGCGTCCCTGCCAAAGGTTGCTAATAAATCCTGACTTTTTTTCCTCATGGAACTGGGACTTGTCCTCAGACTCTCTCTCAGTACCGTGCAAGAGGTCACAGCTGCTGCCAGCTAGTTCTGGTTGGTACCTCAGAGGAAACCGATTTATCCTTGTGTAGTGGGAACATGGGCTGTGTATCTATTCTTCTAGACATCCTGCAGCCTGTCCTAGTATGCCCAGTGAGGTTCTGCTCTTCTTTCCTTTAGCAAGTGTGGCCTGAGCGTCAGAGCACAGGACGGAAGGTGACCTAGTGCTCCTGCTCTTGTGGTGTGCCCATACTAATTTGGAAGTGGATGTGCAGCCCCCAGGAGCACGTCGGTGCAGCTCTGCTGTGAGGGCATCGCATCTCCCTGCTGGGGAGTCTTCCTTCATCAGATTCATCTTGCATCTTAAATGACGAGCAGAAGTTTCCCAAGTTCTTTTCCCAAGAAGAATCATGCTTTAGGCCAGGGATCCTTAACTGTTGCACTGTTGACCTTTTGAGCCAGATAATTATTTACTTAGGGGCATGGGTATGGGGGTGAAGGATATCCTGTGCATTGTAGGGTGTGTAACAGCAGCAGTCCTGGCCTTTACCTACTAATGCCAGGAGCTCCTCCTCAGTCGTGACCAGATTATCTCTAGGTGTGGCCTGACGTTCCCCACTGAGAACCACTGTTTCTGGCAAGAGAACAGCATCAGCAGAGACTGAGTGGCATGGAATGTCCAAAATGGCAAAATAATTAGGAATAGTTGAAGTGTGGGGATGTGGAAGGATGCTTGAAGTTGGAGTCATAGATAGTTTGAGATCAGCTTAAGAAGGGTCTTAAATGCCAGACTAAGAGATTTGAAATTTATCCTGTGGGTTGTACAAACCATGGAAGGCCAGGAGAGGCTAGGGGTACAGAGAATGGCGTGGAAGGAAGGGCGGCCAGAGGCAGAAGCCAGTGGAGGAGGACGGCTCGGCAGAGCTTGAATGAAGGTGGATACAGCGAACACTGCCAGGAGTGTGCCTCCTGGGTTCTCCCTCGCTGTTCTGTGTGTCTGGGAGTGTGGCTCCTGCTTCCGTTTCCTCGAGAAGTTTCTTACATCTGGGTCTGACATTGGGCCAGGGTTGAGAGCCACAGCTCCTGTTCTGATTGTAGCCAGATTAGGCAGGCCGGGGGTGTGGTGAGTTTGAGGTGGGACATCGCTAAATATGGCTTCACGGGTCTCAAAGAGTCTGGATGCTGCACTGGCCACTTTCGTTGTTAGACTCTGAAAATCTGTTGGGTCAGTACAGAAACGGCCACATGAGTACTTCCATGTCTTCTGTTGTAGGGCGTTGGTGAGGAGATTGTATGTTCTTATCAAGGCCCTTTGGGGAACATGCAACACATCCGTTGATAATTTAGTGCCCGGAGAACATTGGTGTCAGAAGGACCATGCTGCTGCCTCTGTTCCGACACTGACAGGGGTTATCCTTGGTGTTGCTTTTTCTGCCTTGGTTTCCGGGATGCCAGGGCTCAGCGGGGTATTCATCACAGGCGTTTGGCTGTTCCACTCCCATGCTGGTTGTGTGCATGTCTTTCACCCTGCCCCTTCTGTTCTCTTCCGGAACCCGGGCACCCAGCCTGACGGTGCTTCTCTGCTCGTGCTGATTAGGATGGCTGCTCTGACACGCTTACCCGCCGCCCCACGAACGTGTGCCATTGTGCACTCCCCTCCGGCGCTGTTTTGTGTGCCTGTGTGTGCTCTTCTCTCTTTTTGCTTCATTTAGTTCGACACTGTAATTGCAGAAGCGGCCAGCTTGACGTCCGGGAGCTGATCTCTCTCTACCCCTTCCTGCTGCCCACCTCCTCCTCCTTCGCCCGGTCCCACCCTCCTCTCCACGAGTACGCAGACCTGCACCAGCTGACCCAGGGGGACCAGGAGAAGATGGTCAAGTGCAAACGCTTCCTCATGAGCTACCTGAACGAAGTCCGCAGCACGGAGGTTGCAAACGGCTACAAAGAAGACATTGACACAGCCTTACTCAAACTGTACGCGGAGGCCAACCACGACAGCCTGCTGGACCTCCTGGTCACCGAGAACTTCTGTCTCCTAACGGACAGCGCCGCCTGGCTAGAGAAGCACAAAAAGTGAGTGTCCCCCTCCTGATGCCCCAGGCCCCCCTGCCTGGCCCTTTGCAGGAGACTTTTGTAAAGCCGACTCGCTGAGCATGGCGTTTGTGTTCCCAAGGATCCATCCCGTGCCTGCCATGAAATCTCAGTAACAGGCACTGAAGACTCCTCGGGTGACATCACTGTTGACACAGTCTGCAGGCTACGTGAAAGGGTCTTGGAGGGCATTTGCTCGAAGACCCGTTCTTTAATGTGAGAAAATGCAGTTTGGAACTAGCAGTGGGCTGTGTTAGTGGACAAAGCAGTTTTAAAGTTTCCTCTGTTGTCAAACCGGGAATCGCCTGTGAGGGATGCCACACATGTGTTGGTAAAATTAATAGTGCACTTTAGTCATTGACAGCCAAATTGTTCAGGTAGATATCTAGATAAGTAGGTGCTAAGGGAGGTTTCCTGATCTTGTTGATACAAGGTGTGGTTTAAAGCTCTTCCTTCTTTCTGTGCTTAGCTAGTAGGTGGCTGGCTGTGACTTCATCCTGGGCAACTAGCCGCATCGCTTGGCTGTTCCAGGCCTCCATTTTCTTGTATTTAAAAATGAGGGGATTTGAGTGAGCCCTCAACTCCATTTAAGCAATAAGACTTTTTCGCCTGTGATCTTCGTTAAGCATATGAAATGGCAAAAATGTGAATGAAATCTCAGAGATCCTGGGTTCACTATGTGAGATCCTGTTCGGGTGACTGTGATGACAGGGGATCCCACATGGGTCCTGGCTCTTTCAGCAGTTTCCAACAGTTACTCGAAGCAGTTTCCAACAGTTCAGGAGCCAGAAAACTCACTGATGCCTCATGTGGTGACTCAGGATGTTGGGTCTGTAGAGCCAGCTTAACTGTCCAAAAGGTTAAAGAAAAGAAAAGGCCTTGAGCAGATACCTCAGTATCTTGAGTTTGCTCTTAGAAGGAAGAAACTCTACCTCCCACCGGGTCATCTTACTCCAGTTACCTGCTGGGAGTGGGAGGAAGGAACCTGGCACACCTGCAGAACTTGGGAGAAACGGCGGGCTCACTGGCCTGGCCAGAGAAGTTAATCTACTTGGTCAGGGTTGTACAGCTTGTAAGTGATGAAGCTTGAATTGGAGCTCCATGAGCACTGGGCCCTCCCCAGGACTTGCCCTGACTCCCTGTGGTCTGCATTGCACAGGTACCATTGGCACTTCCTGCGGTGACTCACGTTCAGACCCCTTTTTCCGTCCTGCTCAGGCAGCATGCCTGCCACATATTTATTCTCTTGGTGCCTCATGACGGATCAATCATGGTTAACTGAAGAGATACGAAACTGTATTAATATTTGAAGCCAACTGCAAAGCCATTCCAAATGTGGTTCTTCCACAGTATAATTATAGTTTTCTTTTCCAGCTCATTTTAGATTGGAGTCAGATCCTTTTTGGAAGTTGATGGAGCGTACATTTTTAGCACTATAAGAAAATAAACAAAAATGAGAATCCTTGGGTCTTCTGAAATTGTGTCGTTGAGCTCTGAGTTGAATTGAATATGTGGGGACTGGGACCCCAGGGAGTGTTGCTACTGGGAGGCTCTCTGCGGTAGCCGGCGGGGAGAGGTTGTCCTTACCTTGTTGTTCTGTTTCAGGTATTTTGCCCTTGGACTGCTCTATCATTACAATAACCAAGACGCTGCTGCAGTTCAGGTGAGTTCACAAACTCTTCACATGACTTCAAAGTCAGTGCCATTTAGCTTAGTGTTACTGAAAAGAAATTTACAAGCTGATAGAGACCACTTTTGCCTGATCAACATCTTTTTTACAGGGCAAAAATAGTACTGTTTCAGAAAGTGAATCCTTGAACAATGTTAGTCAAGAGGTCTCTTTTTGTTGTTCCTACATCTCTTTAGGGAACAGTATGAAGATCGCATTTTTTGAAGTTTAAGAAATGAAAATATGACTTCTCAAAGGGCCACAAGGCATGTGGCATCACTGCCCTGTCAGAAAATGAGGGCAATGAAGAACAGTTCGATTTATCATTTCACTGTCAATGATAACACATGTAATTGCCATTGAGCTGGGTAAATTATTATCCTCATGGCACCTGTGACAAAACCAAAACTGATCAAAGCCAGTTCCTTGCCTGTGGCTATGCCTCTGGCATTTGATCCAGTACTCTGTGTGGCCCTGGCAGGGATACTGTTCCCGAATCAGAAATGGCATCAATTTGGTAGCACTGTCTCTTGTCTTGCATCTTAATACTGATCTTGAAAACTCTTGCCAGGCTCGGTGGCTCAGCCTGTAATCCTGCACTTTGGGAGGCTGAGGTGAGTGAATTGTCTGAGCCCGCGGGTTCGAGACCCACCTGGGCAACTTGGCGAGACCTCATCTCTACAATAAATCAAAAAAATTAGCCAGGCGTGGTAGCACGCGCCTGTAGTTCCAGCTACTTGGAAGGCTGAGGCGGAAGGATTGCTGGAGCCCAGCAGGTCGAGGCTGAGGTGGCCAGGAGAATGCCACTACACTCCAGTCTGGGCGACAAAGTGAGACTCCAACTCAAAAAAAAAAAAAAAAAGAAAGAAAGAAAGAAAACTCTTATCTTACTCTCAGGAAACTTCTCCATTCTGTTATTTGGTATACATTTGTATTGCATTATGTAGTCATTTCCAGATGTGCCCTTTTTGCTTTATTTTGTGAAGGACCAAGAATATCAGCCATATCCACCAAGCTAAAGTCAACTTTGTGACATTGGCAAAGTCAAACATATGTTTACTCTTGAGTTGCTTTGAGAAACGATCACAGTAACATGATTGCAGGGCAGAGTAAAAACAAAAAAAGAAAAGAAAGAAAGGATTCCCATCAGCATGTACATAATGGCTAGTAGTAGATTTGGGTGTCAAAGATAAAATTTTGCTTTTTTAAAGCATGGTGTTCTCAGAATTACAGCTTGATATGTGTAATAAAAACATTAGCAGAACCATAGAGAAAGATTTGCATACTTGAAATAACATGGAATAAACCTCCATATGTGGCAGAATTGTAGGAAAATGGCACACTTCAATATATGTATGATTGAGTTATTTGGTTTGGAGAATTCAGTGTTGAAGAAACAAGTATCATAAGAAGTATTTGGATGCTGACATCAGAATTGCAGAGCTGCTGCTGCCTGCCCTGTCTTGGGTCCCTTGCTGGTGCTGGGCTCAGGAGGGCAGCCAGGTGGACAGGTAGGTGAGACACACCTGTGGATGTGTGGATGCTGGATGAGCTCACACAGCCTCTGTCTCTTCAGACTACGTGCTGCTGCTTCACTCTGGATTCCTGAATGTAAGCTTCACTTAACATGGTAGGGAAGTTTCTGGATGAAATAATACAAGGCTTTTTCTGTTGGAGTCTGTCCTGAGCTCCCTGTATAAAAGATGGGGGAGCTCAGGGGACAAAAGCCCTGAAGCTTTTTAAAAATACAACATCTAGCTGAGTGGGATAGCTCACTCCCACCACTTTGGGAGGTGGAGGCTAGAGGATTGCCTGAGCCCGGAGTTTCGAGACTAGCCAGCCTGGACAACTTGGTAAGACTTAGACTCTACAATAAGTCAGAAAATTAGCCGGGCATGGTGGTGCATGCCTGTGGTTCTAACTACTTGGAAAATTGAGGCGGAAGCCTTGCCTGAGCCCAGCAGGTTGAGGCTGCAGTGGCTGTGAGTGTGCCACTGCACTCCAGTATAGGCGACAGAATGAGACTCTGACTTAAATAATAAGAGTAATAATAATAATAATAATAATAACAACAACAACAAAAATACAACAACTGCCTATCACAGTCCAGACAGGACTTCAAAATCAAGAATTCTCATGATGGAGGAGATAGAGTCTAGCCAATGCTTGTAGGTGAATATCTTCCCTGTTAAGATGTCATTGGTGACCATTTTGTTTATTTCATGAATAAACATTTTTAATACACTCACCTATACCCATCAATGTTATTTACTATTTGTATTGCTGTGTTATTGAAAAAAAGGAAAGGATACGGAAAAAAAGGAAGCAAAAGGAAAGAGAGGTTGGTTCTTGGATCATGTCTTTTTATGTTTCTTTATTTCAGAAACAAAGTTAAAACTGATTTGAGCATTTACAGTTTTCCAACTACTTTAAAAAGTAGTAAGGCCGGCATGGTGGCTCATGCCTATAATTCTAGCACTTTGGGAGGCTGAGACAAGAGGATGACTGAGTTTGAGGTGACAGTGAGCTATGATCGTGCCACTGTACTCCAGCCTGGGTGACAGAGCGAGGCCTTGTCTCTAAAAATAAGAAAGTATTGAAAGACCAAATAAGCAAATTTATACCCATTTTCTAAATTAACTTGAAAAGCTGTGTACCTTTCCATTTTTCTTTCCTTGTTTCATTTTATTTTTCTCTTTCTGTTTGTCTTTTTCCCAGTTGTGGGTGAACATTGTGAACGGAGACATTCAGGACTCTACACGCTCTGACCTGTACGAGTATGTCGTTGACTTCCTTGCCTGCTGCCTGGACCAGGAGCTGGTGTGGGCCTATGCTGACTGGGTCCTGCAGCAAAGTCAGGAGGTTTGTGCTTCATAAACGCATGTTTCTGGTGGGGGTAAAAACAGACCCGAAAACCTCGACTTTCCAAGGGAAGAAAGCTCCGTTTCAACCTCCTCTGTTTTCTTTGTTCGCCATTTAATGTCTTCCTTTGAACACTGTGACCTCTAGCTTGAGGGCTGTTCTGCATTTTGCTGCTCCTGGGACACAGTGCTGCAGGTCCTCTTTCTGGGGCGGTCACTTTCACAGACAAGCAGGAAGCACTGCCAGCTCACACTCTTAGTGTCCTCTTCAAAGCTTATGTCTTTGAGGCTCCCTCGATGGCTCTCAGAAGGCTGGCACTGTTGTTTTCTAGAGCAGGATCAGGTGATTGCCCTGCAGAACTTGGCACTCGCAAGAGAAAGACCCCAGGCCTGGGCACTCTGGTGCCCTTGTCCCTGCTCCCACCCCCTGATATTGAGGCTGGGGACCCGGCGGAGGGAGGGGAGCCCGGAGCAGGACTCGGCACATCTTGGGGGCTGAAGGATGATGACCATGAAAATGCTCCTGTTGGCTGTTGACTGCAGCCTAGATGGCAGACTCGGGACAAGGGACAAATCCTTAGTAATGCCCCCATAGGGCACGTGGAAAGAGACCACAAGCTTTCAGTTCTCCCTGTGAACAATGTGTATATTTTCACGACTCCCTTTGGAGAGACAAAATTAGCTTTCTGATGCAGGATCTTTGTCCTCAGTGGAGAGTCTCTGAGTGTTGCGTCTGCCTTTCTAAAACCTGAGCTGGAACATACTCTCACATCGTCCGTGCTGCCATCTTCACGGGAAGACCAGAGTCCACACACTCGTGTACTTTTTACTCCATCTCTACTTTGCTTCTGTGCACACGACTGGCACATTCTGACACATTCTCATGTACCCACAGTGTGAATCTAGTGCTGTTGCAAGGTTTAGGCCCTTTGCGATGCTCATAGCCAGTTACAGCAGAGCATACATGGAATTCTGTGTGCCAGATGATAGGCAGTCACCTGACATGTCATCTCCTAAATGTCACAACAATCCCACAGGTGGGCATTATTTACAGGTGAGGAAACTGAGGCTGAAAGAGGTTAAACACCTTTCCCAAGCTCATTTGGTTGGTGAAACTGACACAAATCCAGGCTCACCAAACCCAAAGCTCATACTCATAGCAGCCGTGCTGTATTTCTCAGAGCTTGACTTTGGGGGTATGCATGCACACCTGTGTGTGTGTGTGGTAGAATGTGCACACATACATGCCCAGGGGGCATAGCGTGAATTTGCTTTCCCATTTGCCTCATTTGCATTCCCTTACACGATGGGATCGGGCCAGGCGCTCCCCGTGACGGGCACAGGAAGGCAGCCTGGATACTCACACAGGGCCTAGAGGCTGAGAACTCAGATGAACTGTCTGTCATAAATAATCCACAAGGCAGATCATCTGTGTTCGGAGAACTGAGCTTACTGGGCTGAATTTTCAGCACTTTGGATATTTTTTCCACATACTTCTCAGTATGTGAACATCCCCGTTTTGGGATAATCTTAATATTACGAAGTTGTTACTCCATAGATTGTCAAAACCTATCACCGATAAATGCTTCATTCTTTGGTTTCCAACCTTTTAAAAAATTTCACTTGGGAACGTGAGGGGGGTTTCAGAGGTTAGGCTGCCTCTCCTATCTTGGTTTTATGCCCTCTAGTCTTTGACAGTGCTTCCTGCTGGACTGTTTTTCTCCAGAATCATATTTTTAAATCACTTTATTGAGATATGAGTGACATACACGGTATATTATGTCACCATGTTGTATGATGACTTTACTCAAAATGCAGATGTGCAGTTACCAAACAAAGTAAAGATGAAGAAAAGGTGGGTTTGAAAAGCCCAGTAACTAAACTGTTGCTTCTCTTTCAGGTTGGAGTCCAAGTTTTCACCAAGAGACCTTTGGACGAACAGCAGAATAGTTTTAATCCAGATGATATTATCAGTTGCCTTAAAAAATACCCTAGAGCCCTTGTTAAATATCTGGAACATCTTGTGATAGACAGGAGACTGCAGGTAAGCAGTTAGAACTTAGACCCAAATGTGGTTTGCAGTGATACCGCAGTAACTGAAGAGACGGAATTCAGCTTTAAGACTTCTGGACAGGTGGCCCTAATGTAACATTTTATGTCCCCTGCTGTTCAGTCTGTTCTTGCTGATGACTGGGGGGTGGGGCATGGTGGAAGACCCGGAGCAATAGGGAACTGCTTTTTTTTTTTTTAAACCTTCCATCTCCTGTCTACTCAGTTTATATTTCTCCTCTCTTTTCCTTCGTTGCTATTACCTTCATGGGAACAAGGGAAGCTGCACCTTTTGTAGAATACTTAACTCCCATGGCCCTTCTTGAAATCAGAAGTGACTTTAAAAATGTTCCCCATGAATGTTGGCTCCTCTTCCGTCTCTTGCTTTCTGAGAGGATGGGGCCGGGTGCTCTGGGCTTCCTGCTCACAAACACTGTCTGACCGCTGCCTCCCCGTTTCCTGCAGAAAGAAGAGTACCACACTCACCTAGCCGTCCTCTACCTGGACGAGGTGCTGCAGCAGAGGGCCCCCGCCAGTGGCATGGGTGTGGAAGCCACTGAGACACAGGCCAAGCTGCGGCGTCTGCTCCAGAAGTCCGACCTGTACCGAGTCCACTTTCTCATAGGTGAGGATTATCTCAGTATCCTCTCGGTTTAGACACTTCTCTCAGTGGAGTGGTGGGAACAGAGAGGTGGGCTCTGGCTCCAGGTTGGTTCTGTGGGTGAATTCCTTGAGCTCTTTTGGCCGAGCCAGCCTTCCTGGAGGAGGGCGGAGGCTTCTCGTGCCTCCACCTTCTGGGGCTGGACAGTGCCCTTTGATCGATGACAATAGAGTGCCCTGGTCAGCCTTGGACGTCTCTGTGTCTCTTGACCACACTTTCATTCAGACTTCTTTTGGGGCTTCAAAGCACCAAATCGTCGTTCCTTCTGATGACTCCAGTGTCTGAGCCAGGCTTTGTCAGCTGGCCCTGTGCCCAGCAGCCCACTCTCGAGCTGTGTGAGGCCCGGGGCCCCTTGAGTCCTAAAGCAGAGGAGGGCAGCACAGGTGTTTTGGAGGGTGTTCCCGTTTTCGGTTCCTCAGGGCTGTGATCCCACAGTGTCCATATCCTGGAGGGTGCCACAGGCAGCACTGTGTTTGCACCTTTTGGAATTAACTAGTCTCTTGCCAGATTAGACGTTACAGAATTTCTAGATTTGTACTTACTGGGGTTAGTGACATGTTTTTCCTTAATAGCATTTAACATCATCTTTTGACCAGTAACTACGGTTGATTTTCATTATTCGTGGTAATTATGTTCTATGAAGTCTCCACAAACACTGAATTAGTGAACTGAACTGAACCATGTCACTAGGAAAAAATTCAGGATTAGGTTCCCACAAGGCTCTGGTCACAACGTTTTCATCCACCTATTAGTACGTAAGTTTGTGTGAGTTTCTGTTTAAGGATGCCTTATTTACTGCATATTGTTAATCCGTTAACATTGAACCCAGCCAACAGTGCAGTGGCTCACTCCTGGATGAAGCACGTTGACACACATATTTTCCCGTCAGGCACAGCCTTCCTGTACTTAGGAGCACTCGACAGCACCGAAGCACTGTGCTTGGGGGACATTCTAAACAGTGAAATCACCAGCAAAAAGCACAAAAACGCAAAAAGTGTGGCACCCACTAGCCTGTGAAAGGGCATTTGTTTGTAGTGAGAGCTGAAATAGGAAGGCCGAGCATCGCCCTTTCTGACCTCAGCAGTGTGTGCCAGGCAGCTAACATTTTTCATAGCTCTATGCTGGGCTGCAAAGGACCTCGAAATTGCTGCAAGTATTGATTTGGAGGCCGCAAGTAAATTTCCGCGAGTTGATGACAAACTTGTAAATACAGAATCTACAAATAATGAAGATTGGCCAAATATGCCAGGCATGAATCAAAATGCTGAGTATACATCAGGATACGTACAACTTCCACAGCAACTCTGGGAAGTGAGTCCTCTTACTCTTTTTTTTTTTTTTTAAGTTGGAGTCTCACTTGGTCGCCCAGACTGGAGTGTAGTAGCCGCTCCCAGCCACCGCAGCCTCGCCTGCTGGGCTCCAGCGATCCTCCCGCCTCAGCCTTCCGAGTAACTGGAATTACAGGCATGCGCTACCAGGCCCGGCTGATTTTTTGATTTATTGTAGAGATGAGGTCTTGCTGCCCAGACGGGTCTCGAACCCGTGGGCTCAGGCGATTCACTCTCCTCAGCCTCCCAAAGGCGCGGGATTACAGGCTGAGCCACCGAGCCTGGCTCTGTTACTCTTCTCACTTTTATAGGGGAGTATATCGATGCTTACAGAGGTTACCCACTTGCCCCAGATCATGCAGCTCGTGAGCAGGAGAACCACAGCATGGCAGGGCTTACATCTCACAGGAGCAGCCAACACTTGTCCTAGCTGGCACCTGGGCAAGACACACGTTAACCGCCGTCCTCCAGGCAACCGCTCTGTTCACACACAGCCATTGTCTGTGCTGATTGGTTGCTGCTAGCCTAGACCGGTTGTTACGTATTTGTACTGTCAGCAGTCCTGACTTGCATGTTTTGCTTTACGAATCCCCTGATAAGAATTTTAGTGTAGTCATGGTTTGCGGATCAGTGTTAGCATTCTATTTCGAGCACGTAGAGTGTGTTGCCGTGCATTGAGGTTATAAAGAAGGACGAGACTTGGTTCTTGGTCCTCAGAGACTCACAATTTAGTTGGAAGACAGGTAAAGGCTGGTGCAGTTCTAGACAGGTAGAGGAAGCTGCCAGCTGGGCCCTGGGGTGTAGGGGTAAGGGAGAGCGCCTTGGAGGAGGCCCTGCTTGAGCTGTCGTAAAGGATAAGCCTGGGCCTGCAGGTAGGACAAGAGTTCTTGTAGGAAATGGGGGTCTCCCCTGAGGCGTTGTGGGAGGAGCCCTAGAAACTTAAAGACTGACTAACTTGGCATTCCTTGTTAGTTAGGTGACTTGGGGTGATGTCAGTCTAGGGAAGTTGTAGTAATGATTCCTGCCCAGCCCATCTACCCAGGGTTGCTGTGGAAATCAAATATCAGTGAGGTGATAGAAGGGTTTGAAACCCGCCTGGGCAACTTGGCGAGACCTCCACTCTACAATAAATCAAAAATTAGCTGGATGTGGTAGCACGCGCCTGTAGTTCCATCTACTCGGAAGGCCGAGGCGGAAGGATCGCCGGAGCCCGGCAGGTCGAGGCTGCGGTGGCCGGGAGCGGCCACTGCACTACTGTCTGGGCGACAGAGTGAGACTCCAACTCAAAAAACAAAAAAAGAAAGTGTAAATCACAGTGGTCCTGTCTTGACCATCTCTGCACCTCTCCCTGTGCCTCAACTTTGGTAGCCACTTTGTAATTATTTGTTCACATTTCACTGCACGAATGAAGGTGCTGCATGTTGTAGCTTCTGTATCTAGTGCTACAAGGCTGCGTGTTGTAGGGTCAGCCATTTGCTATGAGACTAGTGATGTCTGCTATGGTCATCAGGTCTGGGGGGCAGCCCCCATGTGCCCAAGCTCCAGATGAAATGCCTGTAAGTTGAGACTTCACAGTAGGAAGAGATCATAAGATTTTTGATAGTATATGAGCTCATACTCCTTTCAGTATGAGATGCTTTAAATTGGAGTCAAGGGACTCAGCACACCTTTTGGGAAGCTAGTTTTTGTCAGGTATTAGGATATGGTGACCTTCTGCCTTAGTCAAAAGACCCCCCTACTGGGAAGATACGAGTAATGATGGCGTTCTTAGGACCTGGAGGATGAAACTCCCGGATCACTGAGCCCTTCTGAGGTTACGGTTCGTTTGTTTTATTCAGTCTCTGAACATGGGAAAAGAATTATTCTGCGATCCAGCCATGCTTATCATGAGGGTTTTTCTTCTGTTTGATGAACACTCGATTTGCCGCACAGAAGTTCCAGGAAGCCTTCTCTCTGTCATCTAGGTGGCAGCATTTAGCAGCGTCTGTAGCCATGTGACTTTGCCCCTTCTGAAGCTCAGAGCAGTAGGAAGGCCGGTCACGCCGGCTGGGCGTCTGGCGGCCTGCCACGCAGACCCTGCGTGAATCTGAGTCCCACCCTCTGTCTCACAGAGAGGCTCCAGGGTGCCGGCCTGCCCATGGAGAGCGCCATCCTGCACGGAAAGCTGGGCGAGCACGAGGAGGCCCTGCACATCCTGGTGCACGAGCTGCGGGACCCGGCGGCGGCCGAGGACTACTGCCTGTGGTGCTCCGAGGGTCGAGACCAGCCGCAGCGCCAGCGCCTCTTCCACACACTGCTCGCCATCTACCTGCGCGCCGGCCCCTCCGCCCACGAGCTGGCCGTGGCCGCCGTGGACCTGCTGAACCGCCACGCCACCGAGTTCGACGCCGCCCAGGTGCTGCAGCTGCTGCCCGACACCTGGTCCGTGCAGCTCCTCTGCCCGTTCCTGACGGGGGCCATGAGGGAAAGCGTCCACGCCAGGAGGACCGCGCAGGTGGCCCTCGGCCTGGCCAGGTCAGAGAATCTAATCTACACCTACGATAAGGTGAGTGCACGGCCCTTCTGGATGAGCCAGCTTCTCAACCCATCGACTTGATCGAAGGCAGATTTTACCAATGATAGAAATCACCCTTGTCGGTTTTTATTTTTTCTTTCTCTCTCCAACTTCAGCACATCCCATATCTGATGCTCCTCAAATGGAAGCAGGTCTGTGCGAGCGGGGGCAGAGGCTAGGCCAGCAGCTGTCACGCCAGGGTAGTTTTTCTCCCCTTTAGCTGCTGTTGATTGAGCATTTGTGGGACAGGCTGGGAGGAAGAGAACAGCCTCAGAACAGTAAGCGCTCACCGGACACGTGCTACGTGCCAGGTACCACACTGGGCACTTGGTGACGCCATTTGTCGTCCCAGCAGTTTTATGCAGCGCCTACTATGATCATCTCCATCTCACGGGAGAAGAAGCTGAGGCAGAGGGCAGTCCCACAGGCTGTACGTGGAAGAGCCCAGAGGTGCCTCCCAGGCCAATTCAGGACCCCAGATTCTTAGTCCTCATGCTGTGCTCCCCGCTGGAGCCTTCTCTCTCGTGGTTCTGTATTCCACGTGGCCAGCAGAGTATTCTTCCCAGAGCAGGAACCTGGCCTATTCCTCTCCCACCTAGAAGTCTTCATTGACTCCCCGTGGCCTGGATGACCAGTCTCGCCTCCCTAGACTCATCCCTCCCCACCTCTCCCTGCTACCCAGCACATGTCCTGGCTTGAGCCGCACAGAACCTTCCAAATGTGACACGCTGTTTCTTAGCTCTTTGCCTTTGTACATGCTGTTCCCCCTGCCTGAGATATTCTTACCTTGTTCTTGGTGCCTGGCACATACCCAGTCAAACCCCAGCCTAAGTATTTTTTCTGCTTGGTGAAACCATCTCATACCCTTAAGCAGCTCAGTCACCATCTCTTTTGCCCACCTTATACCGTGTGCCTGCATTTGCAACTCCCTTTACTGTTAGGCTTCTTTGAGGGTGGGGAACTTCATCTATCTCCGTATCCCTAGGGTCAAGCTTGGCACGTTCAGTGTGTCTGATCAATATTTGTCAAATGACTGGTGCAACTCGTAAGTACAGGATGGATGCACTGGGTTGCTGTGTGCTCCTGCCAATAGATCAGCTTGCCTGGGTTGACACGAGTGAATTGTGCAGAAAAACTGTGTAACTTGCAAATCTCAAGTCCTGTTTATCAGACAGAGACCAATGATGTTACAGCTCAGTTTTATGAGTTTCCTCCAAAGAAATAGAATTGTGTTTCCCAGGACCAGTCAGGGACTTTGACTCTATCTCTTACTTGTGCCTTACTTTTCTTATTTGCAAAGGAGAGGACCATGGAATTGGGTGAGTTATATGGTCCCACGCAGTGCTGACATTCATGACTTTAAAACAGGCCTTGCTTGAAATTGTCAGAGCTCAGAGAATATTGGAGAGAGGGTCTTGGATAGAGACATCTTGACCAGACAAGCCGCAGTTACTTTTGTAAAATAAGAAGAGCAGTTTCATACCCTTTTTAACTTCTCTAGTTACCAAAGCTGGTCTTGTGTTCACCATTAATATTCCATTTCAAGAAATGATGTTAAAACAACCCTCATCAATAATCATGTGTGGGGTGACACATGTCAGCCCTGAAACCCTGGAAAGTGGCTACTCAGGTCCTGTGCACATGGCAGCTTTCTCAGTCTTGGTTTCTTTTTGCAGATGAAGTTGAAAGGAAGTGCAATTCGGCTCTCAGACAAAAAGCTCTGTCAGATGTGCCAAAACCCCTTCCGTGAGCCTGTGTTTGTTAGATACCCAAATGGTGGTCTTGTGCACACCCACTGTGCTGCCAGCAGACACACGAACCCGAGCTCCCCCAGCCCCGGCACTCGGACTTGAAAAGCTCAGTCCAAGGGCATGAGGGGAGCTCTGAGTTCTTTACCAAGCCTGCTGGATGTAAAGAACAGACAGCCGCCGCTCTGTGTGTCAGCCGGGATGGAGGGGCGACATCGGGTGCTGGGGAGACTTCTGTCCAAGGGCAACAAGAACTCCTCGCTGTTGGCTGCTCTTGATGAATGTACATGGAGAATCCCCGAAAATCCCGAAAATGGAGGCATGCGAGAGTTCACCTGTCCGGGTGCACAGTGATGCAGAACAGAGGTCTACTTTGAAAGAAAAGGGAGTCTTCTCTGTGCAGTCTAGCCACAGGTGGGGGACTCTGCACCACCCCTGCGCCCCTGCCTCTAGACCGCATCTGCATCGGGAACACGTGGCCTCGACATGGCTGGAGAGGAAACCCTCTCTTGTGCGGACAGTGGCGGGGGTGCAGAGCACTGGGGTGGCAGCTGTGCCTCTCGTGGAGGCATGTTGCCACCCACACGGTTCCCGAGATGTCCGCATGGACTCTGCCTGGGCCCTCAGAAATGCCTGACCTTGGGGAAGTATCTTTGCCCCTCCTTACTTCCCACGTGGCTCTCAACCCCCAGAAGTCTGCCTTGTTGACCCAGGCGCTCACTTTGGGGAAACCTCATGCTCCAGCTGTCCAGCGAGTAAAGATCTGTTGGAAAGCAAGAGAGCTCCACAAGAGACGCTGCTGTCCCCATTTCAGAGGAGGCAGTGGACTCAGGACGTGGTGGGTGTGGGGTAGGTGTGTGCTCCTTTCCTGTCTGTCATCTGATCATTTAAAACTCCACCATTAACATGTTGGACTAAACGTTTTTATTTAAATTTGTATCCCCTTTGCGGTTTTTTCTCATGTTTAGAAATGCACCCGTGCTGTTTATGAGAGGTAATTTCTCCTGTTAAAATGTACCTCCTGTCGCATTCTTGGGAAGTTGAAAGGGAAATGTGGTGAGCACACAGGGGCTTTTCAGAGAGGCCGCCTTGACCTTATGCTTGCGGCAGGGCAGTGGAGTGAGGCTGCACTTGGCAGAGGCATGGCCTGACGCGTGGGTACCTGAGCACTGCACATCCTCTTGGGCACTCCCAGCAGGCCACTTTGCCTCTCAGCACACTGTGTACCTGCTTTGAGGTTTCCAGAACACACAGAAAAGATGCCTCTCACTCACAGGAGACCAGGGATTCCTTTTGTGTTTCTGCGTAACATTGCTGACAAGCTGAAGCCATTTTTACTTCACTGCCCTCTTTTGAATTTCTTCATTGTGATTACTGATTCTGTTAGGGACTAGCAATATAGACAGTGTTCCCTGACCATAACACTTAGAAAACAAAACATTCACTTGTACGTCTGACAAGGGAGGACACCGAAATATACCCTCTTTCTCGGCCCAAGCCTTACTGAGGTGGGGATAAAGAGCTCATTCCTGTTTTTAAAAAAATGTTTCCTGTACTCATAACGGTCAGTGTATTTTTTCCTTTCGGGATTCTAAGTAGGCCAAGAAGCAAAAGCAACCATGTGTTCTTTGGGGGGAATTGGCACCATTGTTTTTTCCTACCTATGTTTCAATGATCTAAAGAATAAATAATGAAGAGATTCTCTTTGTAGCTCAACTGTATGCTGTGTACATTGGTGTGAACTCAAAGATGGTCTTGAGTTTAACCCTGTGGATGACTGTTACAGAATGGTCATGCTGTTGCGTAGATTAGCGTTACTACTTGTGAGACCGAGTTTACATTTCTCAAAGAACAAGGTACTAGTGTATGCAACAAGGCACTGTTAAGAGCACTGTTGCTCTACAAATGAAAAAAAAGGATGAAGTCTTGAAAAAGCCTAACAATTGCTCTTTCCTAACTTGTGGACACTAACTAGTCTTTTTTTGTTTCCTCTGAACATTGATCAATATTTTGAAATGTTTGTCATCCTTTAGAATTATGGGAATTAAAGCCGAGCAGTTCACCGTTTCTGCAAAATCTCTTAACACAAGCGGAAGTCTCTGACACCGTGGAGAACTGCCTCCTAACTTTCTCTCATTCCTACATGGTCCTGTTCTCAAATCCTGTTTCTGAGAGAGATTCCTGCTGATTTGTGACCGTGCAGTTGAGGAGAGCAGTTCACTCCGCCACTCAGACCTTCCTCTCATTAAACTCAGCGTAACCATTGTAGTTAAAACAACACGAACTGCATTCCATTGACATTAATATTCCATGGGCAGTCCTGTTTGAATTTATGAACTGTTTGTCTGCTGCTGCCTGTCAAGTATTAATGCAGGAGTGTCACGTGGGCTACGGCGCGTAGGGCCTCCGCTCGCCTGCGAGTCCCCTGCTGACATAGGCTGAAACATGCGTGCTTCCCTCGGGGGCGCCGGCAGGTGGATGTCTGCTGCACAGCTAGGGTATCCCTTGCTTTCCTGCTTGCTCTCCCACGGAAACCTTTGTCCTTGCAACTTTATCCTTCGCCCTGATGGGCTCCCAGACACACGAGATGTACAAATGTAAACCTGTTGATTTTATTAAAATTCTTTTAGTTCTTCGTCCTTGCTGTCATTTCTTAAGTAAAATGATCTTGGTGGAATGATGGCTTCCACTTACGCCATACCTAGTCTCAGGAGTCCTAGAATCGGTCCCTCCTGCTCTTCCCAGCCCCCACAGGGCACTTGGGTTGGCTGCTCCTTAAACTTTGTGACTACTTTACCAAATGGCATCCTATCTGCTTTGGGATTTATCGCCTGCATATTTTCAGGGTGCTCCTTGACATTTGTTACCTTCGTATTAATCAGGCTCTGAGGAATTTAACCAAGGAGATTTCTGATTACTTCTTACATACTTCACCACTGAGCCAAATGCTCTCAAGCCTGCTGCTCTTGGGTTTCTAACCCTGAACATATTCAAGGAATATCACTTTTTTTTTTTGGAAAAACTCACCTTTTGGGCCAGGCTCTGTGGCTCAGCCTGTCATCCCAGCGTCTTGGGAGGGCGAGGCAGGTAGATTGCCTGAGCCCACGGGTTTGAGACCAGCCTGGCCAAGTTGGCGAGACCTCCTCTCTACAACAAATCAAAAAAATGTGATAGCGTGCATCTGTAGTCTGGTGACTTGGAAGGCTGAGGTGGAAGAATTGCTGGAGCCAAGCCGGTCAACGCTGGGGTGGCCGTAGCATGCCACCGCACTCCAGCCTGGGTGACGGAGTGAGATTCCAACTCAAAAAGGAAAAATCTCACCTTTTGAATTCTACTTCATCCTACAGAACGTGCTGGAGAGCAGGCCTTTGCGCCCTCCTGTTCGAGTTGGCAGCGCTTCCTCCTGTCCTTTCATTCCAGGTACCGTTCTAGCCCTGAAGGAAGGGGTGTGTTAACACACAGAGTGGCCCTGGCTACTCTAGCCCTATTCTACCTGCTCAGGTGGGGTGAATCCCAAATATGTGAGTAGATCAGGTGTCATGACTCATCCGTGTTTCAAGTTGAAGAAACCGAGGCGCCATTTGTTGGGGTGTTTTGCTCAGAGTCTGAGCAGGCCCCAAGTCAGAGCTGGAGTTCTTACCTGCATATCTTCCACCTGGTGTGTCCCCAGCCAAAATCAAGAGACAACCAGAAGCCAACCCACGGTCAACTGTATTTACATCATCATGCTGCTGCATTTAGAAAATCAGGAGGTAGCGACTAATGTCTTTTCTCATGTTTACATCATCAAATTCGAAAATCTATTAGCCTATTAGAGAATAAGGAAGATGGGGGGGTTGTAGATGGATAATCCTGACTGGGAAGGAAGAATGTGGGTGACTGAATCTCTAGAGGAGCAATTGGGGGAGAGAGAGTGTGTGTGGAAATTGACGTCCTGAATGTGTCTGTCTGTGGAGGCAAAGACTGGCATCTGACTCAGTTAAATGGGCTGTGACGCATGTTAGGAGTAATTAGATATCAACTAACACCCCATTTGCTTTTCGCAGCTCTGTCAACCTTAGCGTTTGAAATGAAAATGTACAAGAATCTAGACCATATGGACAAAGGGACCCTTTCACCTTCTCAGAAAAGCTAAATGGCAGAGCGCTATCCAAGGCTTGTTAACAGTTGTTGGGAGATGAGCACTTGAATTAATGAAGCCTGCTTTTCTTTCGCTTGCGACGGGGAAGGAGACACATGGCTGTAATTCAGCCTGGGGTCCAGAGACATGAAGTGGTTCAATGAGAACACGTGGCAGAAAGGGACTGGAAATCAACCCATGCAGCTCAGCAGGCCAAGTGTGAATTGGGAAGTCCCAAGTCAGATGGGCAGAAGCCTGGGTCTTATGGGCTCGGGCACAACCGGCTGTGATCCTGGGTGAGTCTTGTCACCTAGACCTTGGTGGGCTTGTCCACAAGTGGGAGGTGGGGCTAGGTAGTATCTGAGGTCCCTTCAGGTGTTAGTCTTCTGTTCTAAGCTAGGGAAATCGGGGCAGACTTTCATACCAAACGCTGCCCTATAAGATCCAGGCGTTCTCAGGATAGGCCCTGATGGCACCGAGCATGGGAACTCTCTCATGGTATCCCGTGGATGTGTCCCCCACAGGTGTGTCTGAGTCCCACACTCAGATCACCGCACGGTTCCGTGATTAGAAAAGTGACTTGTTAGACTGCTCGCTGGTTCTGGCTTTGCCGTCAAGGCGGAAGGCAGGCTGGTCTACACAGCCCTTCCAGAAGCTAGTTGTCCGTTTCCTCCAGCCTCTTCCGGTCCTGGCTAAGAATCCCTTTGCCTTTTCTCCCACGCTCTGGCTTCTAGAGGTCCCTCACCATCATGATCATTTTTCTCTAGAGAATATTTCCCACGTGTCTCACTTGAAATGCCGGTTTTTCCCTTTGAAATTTCATGGATATCCGACTAAGCTGGGGACCCAAATCCCCCTCCTAATCTCAAGTGGAACGTGAACTAAGGGACACAGAACACTTCCAACGGACTCATCCCAGCCCCTGCCCCTGTCTGGTCACCCACACACATTTATGACTTTCCAAAATCGATAAGTACATGATAGAATTGAGGTAGTCCATCTCCCCTGCTGCCCCCACACCTGCCTCTGCGGCCAGCATGTTACTGTACGGTAACACCATTTATTTGAAATTATTTTTTAATACATTGTGGACTCACAGACCATTGACTGAACCTCATACATAAATATAACCGAAATGCTAAACTTTTGTTTCCTTAAGAATTGCAGTATAGGCCAGGCTCGGTGGGTCAGCCGGTCATCCCAGCACTTTGGGAGGCCAAGGTGAGTGGATTGTCTGAGCCTGAGAGTTCGAGACCTGCCTGGGCAACTTGGCGAGACCTCGTCTCTACAATAAATCAAGAATTCGCCGGGTGTGGTAGTGCACGCCTGTAGTTCTGGCTACTTGGAAGGCTGAGGCTGAAGGATCGCCGGAGCCCAGTAGGGCGAGGCTGCAGTGACCGGGAGTGTGCCACTGCACTCCCGTCTGGGCGACAGAGTGAGACTCCAACTCAAAAAAAAAAAAGAATTGGAGTTCAAGAAAGCATTTCCCCGGTTGTTTTTCATAAGACAATGTACACTTCTAAGGAGATTTGATTTCAGTCCATTTACAAGAATGTATTCACGTTATGAATAAACAGCCAGAAACCCAATTTTATGTCCACATACAAAAGAGACAGGTTGCCATATTACTGATAAGGCTGCATTTAAGGACATTTTTCATGTATGTTAGCCTTCTCGCCACTTTGTTTTTTCTAGAAAGCAGGATTTATTGAGAAGACAGAAAAAGCTCCCACAGTGGGAAGGGACCGGAGGGTGTTGCCCCTTTCTTGCCGTTTTCATGGCTTATTTTTTACTGTGGTAAAATATACTTAGCATAAAATGTACCACTTTAGCCATTTTTAAACATATAGTTCTGCAGCATAAATACATTCACATTGTTGTGCAACCATCACCACCATCCACTCCAGAACTTTTTCATCACTTCTAACAGAAACTCTGTCCCCATTAAACACTCACCATTTCTCTCCCCCCAGTCCCTGGCACCCACCATTCTACTCTGCTCTCTGTGAATCTGACTACTCGAATATCTTACGGAAGTGGAATCGTTTGGTATTTGTCCTTTTGTGACTGGCTTATTTCACTAATTTCACTTGACATATGTTCTCAAGGTTCATCCATGTAGCACGGGTCAGAATTTCCTTCCTTTTGAGTGCTGAGTAATGAGTACTCCATTGCATGATTTTTAAATCGTGTAGTTACAAAAAGTATGTGTGCATGGGCTATTTGTATTTATTTGTTTCATATAAAGTTACAATTGCTATTTTATATGTTCATATTAACATGGAAAACTATAAGCCTATATCAACCCATCTAAAGCCCGTCTGGTTATTGCCCTAATCCCTTCCATTGGATCAAAACAGATCAACAAAGCTCATGAATGTCTAATGCAGGCCCTTGAAAATGGGTTCAAAATCAGCACAAGTTCTTTGCCAACAAGGAAAAGCACAAAGAGTTGCCCATCCATGATGTGACACTTGTTAATCTGCAAGGGTCTGCATTAAGCTAATTCAGAAGCAAGGTCCAGACTTACTTATGGGAAAAAGTTATCAGAGCAAATGACATCTGGGCGTGTGTGTTTCATTGGCAGGCCTCCCAAAAAAGGTTTGCATGTTTTCTACCATTTTTCCCAGCCTCCCTCTATATAAACCTCTAGGAAGGGAAGGAGGTGTGCCCTGGCCCTAGCCATGTTCTTTCTTAGTTGCTGCAGCAATGATGACTCCAATTCCGGTTTTCAAAGGGATCAACACCTGATATCTGGCCATGCTGTCAGCTTGCTAAAACTTATGGCCAGACAGGAAGGGGGCATTTCTCCTCACTTTCCTGGGAGAGCAAGACGTGACTTTGCAGGCGGTGTAGATAGCATGTGTGCGTGCGTCTGGCTTTGGGATGGGAAGGGCTGGCATTCACTTCCCAGGCGTGTGAGTCAGGGGAGCAGAACCTCAGCACATGAGATCCAGCCTGTTTTCAGGTGCCTTCTCCCACTGCGGTGGGGAATCTTGATGCTGGAGATTTAGTCGCTTTTTTCCACACCTGTGTTGCAGGCCTGTGTACTGGGTGATCCCGCACGGAAGAGACCACAGTAAAGATTGTGTAATTATGGAGGGAAGGATAGTTGCCACGGCACAGCAAGTATGAAAGTGTCTGGAAGCCCATCATTATCTCTGCCCCCGTCACTATAATTTCATGCACCTGAGCGTTGGAAACATGCCATGGCGGGCCAGTTTCCTATCTGTGCTAGATTTGCATCTCCTGCTGTAATTTTCAGATATTGTGTATTCATACAAATGCTATAAAACAAGCTGCTTCCTAAGCAACTGGCAGGGAAGGTCAGCTGTACCCAGCCCACCATGGCCACGCCAGGATGTACGTTATAGTAGTCAGGAAAGAGAACCAGTAAGACAGCAGTCTGCAACCATTTTGGCATCAGGGACCGGTTTTGTGGAAGACGGTTTTTTCCACGGACTAGTGGATGGGGGTATGGTTTTGGGATAATTCAAGCACATTACATTTATTGTG